TTTTTTTTTTTCAAAAACTATTAACAAGGTAATTCAATTGTATCATATGCTCACCAATCTTGCATTCCTCAACTCCAATTCAATTTCTTTCCAAGCAAAGCTGCACAAAAGAGCATCCGAGTTGTCATATTATAAAGATAAAATGGTACTCCCTCCCCAGTTTATGTGAACATATTTCCTTTTTGGTCTGTTCCAAAAAGAATGATCCACTTTTTAGCTTAAATTTCTAATTCTACCCTTAAATGAGAAGCTTTTATAATCGTACAAATACTCTGGACCCCTTTCTGAATTTTTTAGGACCACAAATTCCAAGTCTTCATTTTTTCTTAAACTCCGTGCCCAGTCACACAGGTTCACATAAATTGGAACGTAGGGAGTATATAATTTAAGAGCAACGTTTGCATATTTTGCACAAAATTCGAGATACACTAGTTATCGCGACTTTGATCAAACTTCTATATGCTGATAGTGTAAAGTAATTTTTGCACTATCTATGGAATTTAACATGTTGTAGCAGGTTGTGTGCCTTATTTCTGAGTAAACTAGTTCCACTTATCATAGGCCAAGTTATCTTTTAAGTGATCGGCTAGTGTAAAAATTCTTTTACATTATCAATACATGGAAGAAGTTAAACTTTGAATGACTTCTTTTTCAAATAACCATTTGATATCCGGAACCCGCTGGCCCGACTAATCTAGATTCCCATCGTGTGCGGTCCAAAAAGGGGAAACGCTCCCTACTAGGAGTTTTTCTATTCCCGTAACTCAAACCCGAAATTTATGGTTAAGGATAGAAGGATTTCATCCATCCCGTCACACCCCTTGATGGTAAAATCCGAATGACTTACCCCGTGGCGAGAAGCGTAAAACCCCATGCAATGATGGCAGCAGAAGCAGCAGCTTGTAAGCTGTCAATATTCCAATAGCGAATGTGGTTGAATCCAGAGAGGGCTGATGCAACTCCCACAACCCCAGAAATCAAAGCAAACACAACAAAGAATCCAGTAGCAGCATTCCCCATTGGGAAGTATATTGGTGAGAAATGTGCAGGAAGATTAAATCCTGGACCTGTTAAAAAAAAATACAAACTTATATATTATTAATCCACAGACCATCTTTCTTAAAATGTTTGAGAAGATGCGAATTCATGATATAATCAGTGAGTTCAAAATGAGCATCATTTAGTTATGTGCACGATTTAAAGTTTTAACAGAATTCAAGCCGAAAGCAGTGAGTTTAGTTAAACTCAAAAAACCCGTCCTAGGTCTGCCTATGCGCCAGACCAGGCTCTGCAAGTATGTAATTAGTCTAGGAGCGCGCAAGCCGAACTGACAACACAATTATTAAAAAAAAACAATGGTAAAATTGAATGTTTGTAGACAATGATTATACCTAAGATGAAACCATGATCAATGGCAAAGTTCATAGCCCATCCACCAATGCCTAAAACAATGACATACATGCAGAAATTGAGTACCAAAAGCAAAGATGCAACAGGTTTTAGCTGTCCATCAGCCATTTTTGGATCTGAGAAAGTTGATACTAAAGAAGGAAACTATTCTTGATCAAAGATATTTGATTTATGGGTTTTGTAGAGGGTTTTAGGTTGAGAAGATTTTATGCACATACATGTGTTTCTTGCAATTTCTTTGGGTTTTATATATGAATACTTATACCTGAAGGTTTTTTGTTCTTTTCTTGTAGGGTTGATTGTTCTAAAAGGGATTTGTGGTGTTGTAAAGATGATGATGCTTCATTACCAAGATAATCAAACAAAATCCAAGGATTCTTTCTTCCTATTAATATTTTTCAAATATTAGTTTTGAGTGGTACATTCTCTGATTTCCCAAGTGTAATTCTTTCTTGCTATTAATTGTTTTTTCAAATATTATTTTTGAGTGGTATATTCTTGATTTCGAAACCAACATTCTTTGTCTAGCCGCCATCCTTCCTATGAGGAAAGTGTTATTCCTTCCCAACCTTGTAAGAGCTCATTTCACTGGTCTAGATTAATAATACCATTTTATGTTGGGTAATTGTTACTAGTTTATTGGAAAATTAACGAAAATGATCGTGCAATCAAAAAATAATTACCCAAAGAAACTCATATAAAACATTACAATTTATACCTTTTAAGGGGAGAATATTTGCAAAATACCCAACAGGTATGCATGTTATGTACCTTTAGGCTATACAATTCACTTGTTATATACCTCAATATATAATAGTGTGATTAATTCTTATTGTTGTATACCTTTGGATTATATAATTATGTGAATTGTATACCCAAATAGTGTCAACACTCAACAAACAGGCCTATGACCGATTGTATTCCTACATCAGAATTTCACACTAACAAGAACAATAACAACATACCCAGTGCAGTTCCACAAGTGGGGTCTGGGGAGGGTAGAGTGTACGCAGACCTTACCCCTACCTTTAAGAAGATAGAGTCTGTTTCCGCTAGACCCTCGGCTCAGGATTTCACATATGTAATTTAACTAATTAAAGTAGTAGTTATCACCACTTTTCACAATTACCAACCCATGCTCAAGGCTGAACTAATTATATACAGTTAGCTTTTACACGCCATATTAGTGTATAAACAGTAAATACAAAATTTTCACAAGCAACTCATCACTGCATTTCTTCATTCAATTTTACTAAAGAATCACTTTGCATCTTCACGTGGCTACCCCTTTAAAAAGAATTACACCAATGTGATGAAGACATTTCCTTTTCCATATAATCACAAGTGACCAGAATATACACTTCTGTGAAATGCTAAAGCACTCCCCCTCATTTTTCGATACCCTGCTGCATATATTGAATCAAATCATACCCAGCAGTTGTCCACTTGTTGTACGCATCACTACATGCACGAATCATGTAATTGGCTGCTTCACGTTCACTCATCTCGGGATGAAATCTCTTCCGAAGATTTCCTATGGGGTCACCCCTACTAAAGCAAGGCAATCCGCTATCTACCATCATCGAAACTGTATTGATTATCCCATCCATATAGCGACGTGCAGCAAGGTAACCCTTGGCACACAAGCTGGAAAACCAGTCCAACTTTAGCATAAGAAAAAAGATATTCATACATAAGAAGACAGTGCAATTCGCCCAAAAGAGATCACTTACCTTACAAATTGGTACCATGTCTCACTTTTCATTGCTCCAGATGGGTCAATTAATTGGGTCATCTCATGACTAAGCTTGAAGTGAGCACTTTCAAATCGCATATTTCTACCGGGAGAAATTTCCAGGATAAAACCAAAATCAATGTGGACAAGCCTACCAGCACTGCAGAACAATATAAAAAAGGAAATTCATCAGCAGATGAGTCAATATTACCCAACCAATATTGATAAGCTTTAAAAGATGAATATTTATTCCAGAATAATGTATTCGCTTCTTTGGTGTCCAAAAAGTATGTCCGTTTTCATGAACTCTTCCACAAGAAAATCTGCACCGTCCACATGGAAACAACATTTTGAAAAGGAACGCACAGCTATGAAGTGAAGTTAATTCTCATTATTTGGTTCTTGGTCTGTTAAGAGTTAAGACTCATTTAAGACTGTTTTATTCAATAATCAAGCAGCGCTAGAAATACCATCTATAGTGTTAAATAAGTCTTAATAAACCAAAAGCCAAATGAGCTCGAATAATTAAGTCATTAGCAATTTAGATATATAGAATACAAGGCTAGTTGAGCTTGCCTCATGAACACAAATGTTTTGACTTTCTTTATTTTCTTAACCTGACCCTTCATACAAGGTATCCGAATCATATTCCGAAAAAACGAGTCCACTTTATGACAATTGACACATCATTGACATATAAGCAGGAAAGGCATGGTCATGACAAAATATTTTAAGAAAACACTTCCAAACACGTGAAACGGCAGGTGATCTCCCCTTAGTTCATGCACGTCAACTGTTAAAACAACTTAAAACATTTCCACCATGACATGACAATAGTTTAGAAGGTTTCCACATCTTAACACCAAACTTGAATTGGATAAAGTGTAATGTCACAAGCACTGCCACTAGGATACTTAACAATCGAAGAGTAAGGTGCCTACCTGTCAATCAGAAGGTTCCCATTGTGTCTATCCTTAGGTTGAAGCAACACGCTGGCAACTGCATAACCTGCACTGCTAATGATGAAGTTCTCACGAGCAGCTTCAAAACCGGGAGAGCCAACAGGCCCAAAGTCTTGTTGGAAAATTTCATATAGACCACCATCAGTCATCTCACCCATCTGACTTCTGCTCCGTGAGTTGGGTACAACCTGCAAAAGGACAGATGTAAAAAGATTTTGGAGGTAAAAAAAGCTATAAGACCACAAAATAATAAGGGGTCGTTTGGCTTAGATACAAGTATACTGGGATTAGTAATATTGGGATTACTATTGCAGGGATTCAATGCTTTGATTAGTAGTGTAATGATTAGAAATGCAAGAATTGTAATGCACTTATTTCTTGTTGAATATTTAGTTTGATGTATTACAAATTAGAAATACAATGTATAATTGATCTATGTTTACTTCGTAAACAAAATTGAAATTTCTTTACTATGGCTTGTTTTCATCCTCATAAGTCTTTCTTTTTTCTTGTTTACTATGGTCATTTCTTCAGTAACTTTCTTTTTTTCTTTTTTTCTCTTTTTTTTTATTGGTTTTCAACACTGCTGTGACTATGCTTTTCTTGAGTCAATCGGAAACAACCTCTCTACCTTTACAAGGTAAGGGTAAGGTATGCGTAAACACTAACCCTCCCCAAACCCCACTTCTGGGATTACACTGGGTTTGTTGTTTTTTTTTTTTTATTGGTTTTCCAGCTTCATGTCTTTTTTCCTCTCTGTAATCTGTTTCAGTTCATATCAGTTTCCGGGATAAATAAGCAGTTTCCAGATATTTCACATATAAAAACTTCATTATGAAAGCACAAGCATCCATGAAACTAGATGCAGATGTCATACAAGGATTCACCTCAATTATTCCTCTTTCTGGGCCAGTTGGGAGAACTCCATATGGATATAAATATAAATTAAGCCCAACAGCTTCAAATATATCTTTCAAAAGTGAAATGACTTGTAAAGCAAGAACATCTTGCCGACAATCATCTCCAACCTATGCCAAAGAAAAAACAAATTTAGCTACATGTAAAGTAGCATAAACAAGAAATGGGTCGTTAGCGTACTGAATTATTTAAAGTGGCATCTAACAGCTTGAGTTTGTAGATGAGATAGGTTAAACAATCTCATGATATCAAATCATACATAAATCATGGCTTCAAGTTTTAAAGCCAATCATCATTCAAATATATTTATGTATTTGGTCCAAGAAACGAAACAGATGAGCACGTGAAGAAGTGTTGTGGAACCTAAATAAATAAATAGAAATGTCTTTTCTAGGAGAGTGAAATTTTTTAAATGAGGTGATACACACACTTTGAGAAAACTTTTAGTGCTTAACAACAGAGATGTGAATACGAAATCTACATCATCTGAATAAGCTAGGGAATTAATTGCATAAAGTATTCACGATTACTGAGCCCATGTCAAGTTCATCTACTTACTGAGTTCAAAACTGAAAGCAATTAATGGCATAACTTCTAAGTTCTATTCCTTAAAACTGATATATCAGGTAAGATAAGAAAAGTACCTAATTTTCCAACTTCTCAAACAAAATCCAATG